TATGTGCTCCAAAGAAATAAATGTGAGATTTGAACATCAGTGATTAGAAACAGTTGGGAGTGGGATTAATATTCTAGTACTGTCTTTTTCTTTAGTATAACCATTAGATTAGCATTGTCCAGTTAATTACTGCAGGGCTGTGGGAAGCTCCTGGCATGTGGCTCAAATGGATCCATCCTCACTGCTCAGTGGGGAAACCCAGAGCTGGGTGGTTCTGCTGTGCCCCATGATTGGCATGGGAGGGCAGGCTTTGCTTCGTGATGAGCCATTTCCAGTACTGAAACCTCCCTGGGACCTTCTTAGGGAACATGAATATCAGAAATTTATTATTTTGTGCCATGTCTGGTCAACGTGCCCTTTGGACATACTCTGATCATCATCTTGGCAAGATCAGGTTCCAGTGCTCTCCAGGGGGGAAAACCACAAAGCTTGTGATCCATTTAAATCCCACTATATGCCAGCAAAGTGAGGTTTAAGCATGATCTAAGTGGTATGTTGGCCACCTGCATGCAAGTGAATTCCACCTGAAGGGCCCAATCAGTGATGTTTCTGAGAGATCAGAGTCATCTTGAAAGCCTCTGTGCTGTTTCTTGTTCTCCTTTTCAGTCAAAGTTCCTAATGCCCAGGGTGTACAGTAAAAAGAGAAGGTAGAATCACACCTGGAATTAAATGTACTCTGAGGTTAACTTTACATTTCTGATTAGTTTTAATAGGAATTTTAGAAGTTCAGAACAATATAAAGATAAGGAGCTCTTCCTATTGCAAGATTTTATGTGAAATGATTTAGAGGATAGACCATGCATCGGTGTAGCAATTTTTTTGATTGATACATTCAAATTAAAAGGGAAATAATGAAAAGTTGTATTTTTGCTGAAGTGATCAAATGTGAAAACTGTGTATCTCTTCTTCATGGAACTCAACAATCTGTTCCCAGCCAGAGCTGTCTGCTATGCCCTTCTGCAAGCAGGATGACAGTGCTATTGCTTCCTTTGCTGTGTGTGTATGAGTAGGGTTGTGAGAATCCCACCTGTAATATTTAATAGCAGAGCTTTAGAGAGTGGCCCATGACACTCCTGCAAAATCTGAGGTGGACCATAAAGAATTTCTTCCATGGTGCAGGCATGTAAGTAAATTTTTTTAGGTAGCACATTCTTCCAATGTCCTGCCTTCCTATCATTTCTGAAGCATTTGGTACATTACTCCCAATACAGAGTTTGCTTCTGTGCCCTCTATAAGGAAACTTTTTATACAGTTAAGTCTCTCCCAACCTAGCATAAGTCTTAGTATTGAATAGTTTAAAATCAAAAGTAAAATGGAAAAAATTCTGAGTGTATGGCCAAATACCTTTATGCCAGATTTGTTATTACAGAATATTGCCTCAAACTGATTAAAGGATATCATCATTAACCCTGATAATGGTTGTCACCAAGTGCAAAGATGTTGGCATGCAGTAATAAACTATCGTTAAGTTAATTATAACCACAAGGTAAGTGCACATAGTTATACCGATTATTTATCAGAAGAGGTTGATGGCTTTAATAGGCTAATAATCTCATAATGAATGCAGTTTAATTATATATACAGTGAGACTGTGTAATTGTTATTTAAAGTACAGTATAATTTCTGAATTTGTAAAGCCCTAGACAAAATAGAGTGAGCATACTTCAGCCACCTTCTGAAATGGCACTTCCTGACACAGTGCCTTTATGTAGTGTATTAAACTTCAATTCAGTGAACCATAGGTCAAGCACATGCAGTAAAGAACAGGTTTTATGGCCTTTTTGGCTTTTGAAACACTCTTTTTTTTTGTATACAAATGTTACTTGATTTACAATGTAATGTTTTATTATAAACAATACTCGTCGTAACTTTCCGCTTGTGGAATATTCCAGCTGGAGGGAGTATTCATAGACACACATTTAAAAGCCCAAAGCAAACCCAGTCTCACTTCCTGCCCTCCTTGGGAACTATAACTGTCTATACGTTTCAGGTAGATCATAATAGAATATCATGGAGTTATTATTATAAATTTATTTATACTAGTAAATATTTTTTATGAGTTTAAATTAATATGTTTCAATTGTCATACCAAGGGCTAAAACTCCTTTTGAAGGTAGGTGTTCTTCATGTTTACGAAGTTAAATTAGTGGCTTAAAAATATTTCAGAATGGTTTCTCTTTGGAACTGGTCTAACACTATTTGGAGGTCAGTCAGCATCCAGAGTGAGTATCATATAGAAAATCAGAACTAACCTGTTCAGGGCATTTCTGTAAAGATATTTAAGCCGCATAATTTCTGTATTGATGTTGTGATACATGCACACCTTATTTCCATAATGTGTGTAAAGAATTAGACTTAAGAAATCGTTCCTGACACCTGCTTTTCCTTTTCATTGCTTCAGTATCTTTAAAACCTGGTTCCTTTACATGTTTTCATTGGCCCTTTCAAAAGAAAGATTTGGAGTTAAAGTTGAGTATGGATCTTTATATGGAAAGCCAACAATACCCAAATCAGTTTTTTAAATGGGCATAACAAATATAGCATCCTAACTAATTAGAGAATCATAATACTCAAAAAAAAAAAACCCCACCCCAAAAAATGTTGGCACACACAAATGCTTCAGCACTTGAACCAGGGAAATGGCCCTGTATGGTTTCTCAGCTTCCTTGTACTCCAAACTGTCCTCCAGTTCTCTGTTCCCATTTAATACTGGCACATACTCATAGCATATTTCATTTTTCCCCATTAAAGAATACAGATTTAAAAATAAAAATATGAAAAGCATGGAGTGAGTAGGTGGAAATCCTTTGTTGTTGAGCCAAATTGAAAGATGTACATTCTGTAATTTTCTGACACAGTGGGATATCTGCATAGGGGAGGAAAAAGAGCTCTTGAAGCTACATTTCCCTTTATCAGTTTATGTGCCTTGAGTGTACTTTCTAGTTAAAACTTTTAAATTACTTTAATTACAGAAACTAAAAAGGTTTGCCGCAGAAATTATTCCCACACAAGTTAAAAGGTCATTAAAAGTTTGGGCTATCAAGCTAATTTGTGAACAATACTGTGCGTGAGGTGTTCTAACAGCAGTAATTATATTTCATGATCTCCTTGCTGCCGTGGCATTTCCTACTCCTTCACACAGTCCCTGGCAGACCACGCTCTTCAAATTCTTTTGCAATATAAATAACAAGGGGTCATTATCACAGATTAATAATTGTGAGGCTCACATAAAACCACAGTTGTGTGGTTCTGTAATAAAACTATAACAGATCAGGCTCTGGTTAGATTCGCCTGAAATTTTGTGAGGGAAACCATCACATGGAAATTTCGTGAGAAGGGGTTTGCCATCTGTTTTATTCCATTCCATTACATAGAATCATAGAATCACAGAATCATAGAATCATAGAATAGTTAGGGTTGGAAAGGACCTTAAGATCATCTAGTTCCAACCCCCTCTGCCATGAGCAGGTACACCACACACTAAACTATGTCACCCAAGGCTCTCACATTATATTAGAAAATTCCAGGAAGTGTCAGCTTTTTTCTCTTTTAGTTCAGATTTATTGAATAATAAATATCTTGCTGAATCTCTGTCACCACAAATTTTTCAGAGAAAATGACAGAAAATTTTAAATAGAAAATCCTGACCTGTAGTAGAATTGATAGTTTATAAACACTGCAGAAGCCTTACATTACTTCCATCTTCAGAAGGTCAGGCAGTTCCATGAGTGTACCTTCAAACATCTGATGGTGACTCTTACCTGTTTGTGGGATTTGCAATGTCACACCATACACAGCACCTTCAAGCAAAATACTTTGGTGTACTTGAAGTTTGCTTGTACTAAATTTGGATGACTGTTATTCAAAGAGCTGGCAATGCTGTTGAAATGTATTTAATTGCAAGACTTCATTCAAAACTGCTGCTATGCACATGGGTGCTAATCAAGTTTTTGTGCATTGTCTATGGCCTATGTGTTCCCTGAAACGAATCCCACTCCTTCCCCTGGTTGCAGCACTGAGAACAGCTGTACAGCTGGAAGAATGATAGTAGCAATTAGTCATTTACTAAAAATTAATTCAACATGGGGTTGTTCAGCTCAGCTTGGTCATCTGAATATACTGCAGCTTGTGGGCAGAAGGAGTAAATGTGCAGATTAGTGTTATTTTTTTTTTTTTAATTCCACATGGTGCTTGGGCTATGGTTGCAGATCTGTAGTGCATGTTGATATCAAAGTCCTGTGTTAATGGTGTTCACTAATATTCCTAATAACCTTCTGCTTTTTTCACCACCTTTAAAAGCAGTTATGGTCCACACCTGGTCTCTGATGTGTTCAGAAGTTAAGCAGAGCAGATGGGGTCGTGAGACTTGAATGAGAATGACAGGGGTTTATTTCTCAGTTCTGGTATAAAGAGATTAAGTCCCTTCTCGGTGTACTGTATATGTCCAAACCATCAAGATTAAATAGAAATACTGCTGTGCACTTGTCTGATGCCTTTAGCTATCTGGAAGACCATTACCAGTATGTGTTGTCTAGCAGCTGAACAAAATTTCTTTCTTAAACTCAGTACAATATCTGTGAGATTTTTTTTATTTTATTTTTTCTTTTGGGCTGGTATAAATGGAACATCAAGCATATTCTGTCAAAAAGAACAGTTTTAGGGTGGTTTTTTTTTTTATATAGGCAATAATTAAGGTATCATTGACAGGAGAACATGAAATATCCCAATCTATAAATGTCTGCATTATTGTTGCATAACAACCTTATTCAATATGAATACAGAAGATACCACAGCTTAGATTCAATCTCTGACTCTGTTGACATGCTTCTATTACAAATGTTGTTTTTTTGCCTAAAATTAGGCAGATTTGACACCCTTGTCATCAAAATTCTTTCCTTCCAGGGAAAGTCTGCTAGTGATCAGGCTTTGTAACTCATCAAGGGCCAGGAAAAGACTAAATGCATGACAATGGCTCCAAATTAACTGTGTTTGCTTTGCTTCTAGGCAGAAACATATGATCGTGATTTTATGAATACATTGCTTTCTAAACCAGATTCATAATACACAATCTCCATGTCCTTATGTTGAGGACACCAGAACTGTACACAGCACTCCAATTGAGGTCTCATGAGAGCAGAGTAGAGGGGCAGGATCACCTCCTTTGACCTGCTGGTCATGCTTCTTTTGATGCAGCCCAGGATCCGGTTGGTTTCTGGGCTGTGAGTGCACACTGAAGCCGGCTCATGTTCAGTTTCTTATCAGCCAAAACCCCCAAGTCCTTCTCCGCAGGGCTGCTCTGAATCCCTTCTCTGCCCAGCCTGTAGCTGTGCCTGGGGTTGCCCCGACCTGAGTGTAGGACCTTACACTTGGCTTGGTTAAACTTCATAAGGTTGGCATTGGCCCACTTCACAAGCGTGTCAAGGTCCCTCTGGATGGCATCCCTTCCCTCCAGCATATCAACCAAGCCACCCAGCTTGGTGCCGTTGTCAAACTTGCTGAGGGCGAATTCAATCCCACTCTCCATGTCACCAACAAAGATGTTGAGCAAGTTCGGTCCCGACGCTGACCCCTGAGGGACACCACTTGTTACTGATCTCCAGGTGGACACTGAGCCAGTGGTCAATCCATCAAATTTATGTCTCATCAGTTTAGAGACAAGGATGTTGTGCGGGACAGTGTCGAACACTTTGCACAAGTCCAGATAGATGACGTCAGCTGCTCTGCCGCTGTCCATCAGTCCTGTAGCCACATCATAGAAGGCCACCAAATTGGTCAGACAGGATTTCCCCTTAGTGAAGCCATGTTGGCTGTCACCAACCACCTCATTGTTTTTCATATGCCTCAGCATGCTTTCCAGGAGAACCTGCTCCAAGATTTTGCCAGGCACAGAGGCGAGACTGACTGGTCTGTAGTTCCCAGGGTCTTCCACCTTCCCCTTCTTGAAAATGGGGGTCATGTTTCCCTTTTTCCAGTCATCAGGAACTTCACCTGACTGCCATGATTTTTCAAATATGATGGACAGTGGCTTAGCAACTTCATTCGCCAGCTCCTTCAGGACCCGTGGATGGATTTCATCAGGTCCCATGGACTTGTGCACGTTCAGGTTCTTAAGGTGGTCTCGAACCTCACCCTCTCCTACAGTGAGCCTCAGATCTTCATTCTCACAGTACCTGCATCTGCCTTCCAAGACTTGGGTGGTGTGGTCTGAGCATTTACTAGTGAAGACTGAGGCTAAGAAGTCATTGAGAACCTCAGCCTTCTCCAAATCCAGGGTAGCCAGTTCTCCCATTAGCTTCTGGAGAGGGCCCGCATTATCCCTAGTCTGTTTTTCGTTTGCTACATACCTATAGAAGCCCTTTCTTTTATCTTTCATACCCCTTGCCAGATTTAATTCTAACTGGGCCTTAGCTTTCCTGACCTCATCCCTAGCTTCTCAGACAATGTCCCTGTATTCTTCCCAGGCTGCCTGTCCTTGCTTCCACCTCTAAGTTTCCTCAGCAGCTTCTTATCCATCCATGGAGGTCTCCTGTGAGTGCTTGCTTGTGTCAGTGGAGCTGCCAGCTCCTGGGCAAGTCCTGTCGAGGGCTTGAGGCTCCCTCGGTAGCTCTTGCCGCTCAGAACTGATGCTCCTGGATGCTGTGTTTCCCCTCGTTCCAGTAGCTTTATGGAGCTACTCACCTTGGCAAATGACCTGTTATGTTTGGTTTTCTTTTTGGGTTTTTTTTTTGTTTTTTTTTTGTTTGTTTGTTTTTTTTTTAAATAATGGCATTCAGAAAAATTCCCTTCAAAAATTTAATCACTGTGACTATTCCTAATTAAATAAAATGAGACATTTGTGTGAAAGAACTTTTATGGAAGATGTTCCAAGAAGATCAAATGTTGTGCATGCTCATTTAATAATAATAAAGCCATAAGCCAGGTTAAATTTTCTTCAGTTAAAAATAATGGAAGCCTCTTTTGGCAATTTAGAAATAATATTTTAGATATCGAAGAACTTGTTTATATTACAAAATAACTTGTTTATATTACAAAATAAAACAGATCTGCTGTAAGCCCAAGTGAATGGAACCAAACCACATTTTCCTGGTACAGAAAATCATTCATTGTGCTCCAGCTTTGCCAAACGGCATCCCACAGTCTGGAGCAAGGAAGGGAATAGGAGTGGTCTTTCTGTTCCTCCTTGCTGCTGCTTGAAATTAATTTTGGTTTGTAGGCAGGTTATTTCTTCTTTCATTCAACCTGTATAGGTATGTAACTTTATCTCATTTCATACAGAGTTAAATGTTATCACTTGTACAGCAGCTTGTAAAGTAAATGTGTGAACTGATAACACGTACATCTCTGCAGTTTCTGCTCATTTACAAGAGAGAGTAGCATCTCTGTGGGTATATAAGCAGCATCCTTTCAAAACAGGGGTATATTTTGAAGAGGTGACATATTTTGGCATGAAAAGAACAAAATACAGTAAAAAGCTTGCTAGTGTAAGATAGTAATATAAACTGAAGTACAAAACCACACCGGAGTGTATAATTTTATCCCTCAAAGGATGTGGCTAAGCATTGGCACTAGTTAGCTTAGCTAAAACATCCAATTTTTTTTTTAAATATATTTATAAATTTGTGTGTATACATCAGAGATTATGATGGGCTGCTTTGCTTTGACACCCAGCTCCTTGGATGTACAATTTTGAGTCTTTTTTAGTGACAAAATAACAAAATTCAGTCTTCGGCATGTAACCATTGCCTTACCTTGGCTTTGGTAGATTTTTCATTTTTTTCTAATTTAAAGACTAAAAGATATTATGTAGATAACTGGCCAGGTCACAGAGCCCTCGTGCTTTTTTTTTTTTTTTTTTCTCTCAGATGATTTCAGCCTATATATATAACATTAACATTGTGTTATGACATAAGCTGCTTTTTTAAATGTTGAAAGCCTTTTTTAGCATCGTGTTTTTTATACACGTACATACCAAAGTAGCACAGTAAATTCCACCTGCTTTGAATGCTTAATGTGTTGTTGGCAGTGGAAACCATTTTTTTTTTTTTTTTTTTTTAAGCACTTGTGCTGGTTAATATCAACAAAGTCCTTAAGTGTGACAGAACAAAGCAAGATTGAAAAGCTTATTTTTTCCATCTTGTAGGTACTTTCTACCTTGAACACAAGCCATGAAATATTAAATGCAAAGCGTAAACGTTTAAGGTTTATTTCAGGTCATATTTTACTTAGCAATACCTTTGGTATTAAACCCAGAAGTTTTAGAACCATGAGGCTGCAGGAGCTGTTTGATAGCAGAGCCCACTTGAGTCCAATACAAATACCAAACTGCAGCTGGGCCATAAAGATGGATCTGTTTTTCCATTTTACTGGAAACCTTATTTGACTTATAGGACTCTGGAAAACAAAAAAATCAAGGTGTACAAATTAAAGTTTAAATTGATATTTCTTTCTAGAAAATTTAAGGGATTTTTTTCTCTTTTCCCCCAAAATAAGTTTATGAACATATCCTCAGAAAAAAGATAGGGGGAAAAGTAATTTGCATTTATATTGAGACATGCTGAGGAGGAAAGAGCAAACCTACAAGCCCTCCTCTTTATTCAGTGAGAAGACAGTGATAAAGACAGAGCAGCTGCTTTTGGAGTACTTTAGGGCTCAGGTCTGCATCTCACTTGTGCTATAGTAGGGGCTGAGGTGTCTGATGGTGGTATGGTTTTTAAATGACCCAGTAGTTGGGTACCCACGAATTGGTATCCTGTGCGAGAGCTGATATTGCTTCCCTTGAGATTTAGTTTCCCCCATGTTTCATTCCAGCAGAAACTGTCCCATTGAAGGCATCTGTACAGCTGCCTGCATATCCAGTGTGTCCCAAAGCAGGGCAGGAGCTGCCTGGTGGTAAGAGGCAATAAGGGGATAACAAGAAAGAGGAGGATTGTTAGGAATATTTCTTGGTTACACACTTAAGAAATGTCTCTTTTATGGACTGCCTATACAATGCCAGAAGCACAGCCCTTGGTGCAGCAGGGTCTGGTGGCCGTTTGGCATGCAGGGATGGCAGCAATGCTCCAGAAAGCCTCCCATCAGCAAAGATGCGACATCACCCAAGGGACCAGGAAAGTATTTTTATTCAGAATAAAGTTCTGACCTGTCGGAATTCAGTTTGTTTTCCAATGATCCTGATCTGTGCAAGTACTTGGAGGTGCTGTGTGCTACCAGAGACTATTTTCAGTTTTACAATTTTACTTAGTTCCTCAGACCTTTAAGCAGACAGACTTTTTTGTCAGACCCTACATCTTTCTCTTTATTTTTTTTTAAATATAGAGTAGCAGCCATATTTTATCATTTCTTTATTTAGAATAATAAAACAGAGCCTTGGAATAATTGAGGAGGAATGCAAAAGCAATTGCAAAAAAGCACAGCAATATAAATGTAAATCAGGTACATTTTTACTTTTCAGAGCTGTGTTAGGCCTTCATTAGCTGGTCCCTTGTGGTAATCCTTTTCAAATTGTTTAATTTTCTTTTCTAACTCCATAGTTTCATTGATCTGCATCTTTATCCTCCACGAAGTTTCTTTAATGGTGATCCCACTAATGAAAACTAATATCCTTGAGATTTCTATATGTCTTGATGGAGCAAACATTAAAGCTGGAGTGGGGAAAGTTGGTTTTCAGGGAGCTGTAAGAGTGTTTGACCTTTAAGCTGCATCGTATATATGGGTATCTACATTCATTTTTCTCTCTTTCTGGCATGTATTTTTGAAACGTGTACTGGGAGGTTGAGTCTCAGCTTCTTTTTTACTAAATAAAACTGGTGGTATACAATTACTAAAAAAATAAATTAACTTTGCAAGCTAAACTCCATGCTGATAGACTTCTTGCTGGATGTGTCAAGCTGATATCAGGTCACAGTTCTTGAAAGTTCAGAAAAGAAAAATCAAATTTTATTTGGGCTCAAAAAAGTCTGTATATATGTGTATTCAAGTATGTACGGTGACATTTATTCATCACATTTTGTGGTGCTGCAGAGCACACTAGAGGCAGTGATTCGGGTGGTGTTGGTCGGGAAGGAGCTGATATAGCAAAGGGATGAAGGCTTGGCAGAAAGTTCTCACCACCAGTCAGTCACAAAATGACCACCAACCTTCTTATCCCACCCTCTGTAGTGAGCAAACAAAAAACCAAAGTCCAAAGAACCCTAAATATGTAGGTGGACAGAAAAGGTAAAGCTTAAAAAAAATATATATAAGAAGTCCAGTTATCTAGATTATTCGTTATTTGAACAAGGTGAGTAGAAAACAGACCTGAAAACTGTTACTGGTTTTAATAAGGTTTTTGATTCTTTCTCAAATATTTCTACATATAAAATAAAATAAAGACCAGATTAGAAAGCAGTGAAAGTGAAAATAAAAGCTGAAGAAAGCTATACAAAAATCTGTACAAAACTTCTACAATACAATTCAAGGAGAATGAATGGGCATGAAAAGAGCCAAGAAATCTGTTTCATGCACAACTTTTTAATATATTTTTCATTCCAAAGTCCCTTTCAGGTGAATATTTCTACTTTCTCAAGTAAATCCTGACCCTTTTTTTTTGTGTCTGTAAAAGATTTTAATTAAAGCTAACCAGGCAAAGGACTGTTCAAGAGAGAAGCAGCTGGTGAGGTTTTCCTAGAAGTAAAACTTCTGTCTTTGTTCTTCATGCTCTATTATATTGCTGCTTTTCTGAACAAGATCAAAGAGAATATGAAGGGCAGTGTCACCATCTCTGTGGATTGCCCCATAAGCTGTCTTCTAAAGAAATAGTATAGCTAAAGAAAGCAGTATAGATGTTAAAATGTGACACATGGTTGGCAAGATTTTTCTTTCCTGGTGTATGTCCCAGTCACAGCAGTTTGTAAAATTCTACCATTATTACTGCTATAGCACCAAATGCATCATTAAGAGATGCGTATATATGCATTTGAAGATAGAATCATAGAAGAGTTAGGGTTGGAAGAAAACTTAAAGATCACCTAGTTCCAACCCCCCTACCACAGCAAGGACATCTTCCACTAGACCAGGGACACCTGGCCGGGACACTTTCCACTAGACCAGGTTGCCCCATCCAATCTGGCACAGCTTCAGCTGTGGACACAATAATGTATGTTCTCTCAATTCTGTTTTCTCACTGTATTTGAAATAAAGACCTTAAAAAAAAAAGAGGGGGAGGGGAGGGGGCAAAATAGAAGATGATTGGTAGAAGCAACTGGAGTGGCAAGCAATGCATATTTTGGCTGAAGTTTGGCAGCATTTCAAAGGTAAAATTGTGAGCTTCAAATGACTAAAATTGAGCTGAAATTTCAAGCAGTTGCAGAGATGCTGACGTTTAAGAAGAAATAAGCAATTTTTGAAGAAAGACAAATTGAGTTACAGGTGGCATGTATTGAAATATGGTAAGCAAGGAGAGAGCGAGATTATTGAGGATTTTTGCAAGAAAATTGAAAACTGTAAAATCTGTGGGAAGTCTGATGTTGCTTTCACTCTGGAGAGAATGGTTCAGATTAGTGTGAATGTGTCAGTGTTGTACATGAGAGAGTGTGTGTGTCTGTCAGCAGAGAAGGATTTGTTGAGCACCTGTGGGAAGCATGAATTGCAGAGTTCCAGCTTTAAGAGGCTGAAATCATTCTTTGCCATTATCTTAGCAACATTCTTACTTTAGTTTGTAGATACTGAATTAGCTGGTGTAGGTGTATATGTTTCCAATCCATTCTTAGCAAATATTGGATTAAATATAAGACTAGAGCTTTCAGACATTTAACTGCAGTATCTTCAGTGGTTTGTGGGGAGTTAATAATATTCAAGGAAACGCTAAATTAGCTTTTAAATACAGAAGAGGTGTTAGGATGAATACTATTCAGTCCTGGTTTTAGATGCGTCAAGTTCTCCAGATAGCATGCTCTAGGGAAAGCTTCAAGGTATGAGAAGTGTTAGGGGGGAAGAAGAGGAAAGTGTCTATACAAGAAAGAAAGGTTACATTATTTAAAGAACAAAGTATTTTTGTATTTTTTCATTTTTTACTCTTTTTTTTTTTTTTTTTTTTGTTTTTTTTTGTTTTGAGGCAGTACTGTGAAAGGGGGTTCAGGAGCTGCCCTGCAGTCGGTATATCCTTTGAGCTGTACTCAGGTGGCAGGGTCGCACAGCTGACCGCAAGCAATACTGTAGGTTGGTAATAGCAATTAAACCCAAGACAATGCCCACAAAGACTCAAGTCCTGGGTAGGGAGGCTTCATGCTCTGCCAGCATGTAGTGTACCTTCTCACTTTCTGCAGGGAAAGCAAGAGTTAGTCCTCTTGGACATCATTTAATTGAACAAGCATTTCTTCTAGCTATCATTTATCATAGTCATGTAAATCTCTGCAGGCGTTGGTAGGGCAACTGTTACCCACTAGCTTTACATGGACACCAGTGAGAATCAGTCCAAACCAAAAAGGTGCCAAGGTCATCTGTCTCTCCTGCTGGAACTGATGCACAATATCTTGTCTCTTCAGCACTAATAATAAAGGTAAGAACAGGCAGGACGCTCTGCTCTTAGGATATATATAACAATTAACATAGGGACCAGGACAGATGTAATAAGTGGGATTTTGGGTTGGAGTTTTTTGTGGTGTGCTTGGATTGGTCGTTTTGTGTTTTTTGTGGTGTTGTTGGGTTTTACTTGGTGGGTTGTTTTTTGGTTTGGTTTCAGTTATGGGGTTGTTTTTTTCTTTTTGTTTTTGTTTTGGGTTGGTTATTTTGGGTTGTTTTTTTTCCCAATAGTAATACTTATCTTGGACCTTTGGACAGCTATTAAAGGGGTCAAAACATAGCAAACTGTTCAGGGCTTGTGCAGCTGACTTCTCAATAAGAACAGCTGAAGCAAAGTGTTAGTGCTGCTCTGTGGGACTGCGATTTTCTTGTCTGTTTCATAGTCTGAAAATGCGAGGAGTCCTACATAAGCAGTGAGAAGTGCTGAGCAAGAGGAAAGAAACCTGCAGTAAATACTGGCTGAGACAGCTCAAAAATGATTAGTGGTATTAGAACTGCAGACACTGATGTGACCATGTGTCGTGGTTCAAGCCCAGCCGGCA